TGGACTAAAACTGGGAGCTGGTTCCACAGGAGAGGAGCCTGATAACTAAAGGATCTGCCTCCCATTCTACTTCTAGAGACTCTAGGAACCACCAGTAAACCTGCAGTCTCAGAACAAAGTGCTCTGTTAGGAACATATGGAACAATCAGATCTCTGATGTATGATGGAGCTAAATCATTAAAGGCCTTTATATGTGAGGAGGAGAATTTTAAATTCTATTCTGGATTTGCCTCCCTAATGAAACATTTGTATTTCTACTTTAAATTGAGTGAATCTGTAATTGTTGTTTGATAGTATGTCTTGATGATTCCTTCTTGACAATCTTGGATTATATGGGATGACAGAGGATTAGGACCAGTCTAAGAGATAATATTACGAGAATAAAGTCATAATATTTATGACAACAAAGAAGTGCAGTTTTCAATGCATACTTCATAAGGAAAATGAGGAAATACTTAATCTTTTAGCACAGCAGCATTACATTATTACCAGTTTCATTACTTTGAATTGATAGTGCAAATGACCTGAAAGAAATAAGCTTGCTTTGTGGAAGAAGCCTATCTCCAGGTGTCATAAGGCAAGAGGCAGGGTCCACACACAGGACAAACATGCATGCACACACACACTTCTGCGTAAGGGCAATATAACGTAATCAATTGACGTCACAGTCATGTTTTTGGACTGTGGGAAGAAGTTGGAGTACCTGTAGAGAACACGCATGCAGGTGGAGAACATGCAAACTCCATGCTGAAAGACCCCAGACTGGGATTTAAACCCAGGACCTTCTCTCTGCAAGGCAACAGTGCAACCAACTGCGCCACCTTTGGGGCATTCCAGAATAGTTCAATGACAACAGTAAAAACATTGATTAAAAATAATTGATTAAAATAAAAAAAAACATTACAAAATAAATTGAAAACAATAACTAAAAAGATAAAATAATAATGATGTAAATAAAATGAAATAATAATGATGATGCTAATGATAATTGTAAATGCGTAGAGCAGCAGGAATAATAATCGGACACTGATAGTAAGTAACATGATCATATTCGTCATCCAGCATATTTTGTTTTCACACTAGTTCGTTTACTTCCTGTTTGTAAAGCAAATCAAATGAAAGGCACTGAAAAGTCAGGTGTGACGAAAACTGTAAAATCAAAAAATGTCAAGTTCAGTTCATGTAGTAAAGATGCATTTCTTCCAGACTTAACTGAAACGTGACTTGATTGTTTTCTGTTTCTCTCACTGCAGTGTGGACGCCACCAAAGAGACGGGTCGAATGGGCAGGCTGATAAACCACAGTAAAAACGGGAACTGCCAAACTAAACTCCACGACATCAACGGAGTCCCTCACCTCATCCTCGTCGCCTCTCGAGGGATCGACAAAGGCGAGGAGTTGCTTTACGACTATGGGGACCGCAGTAAAGCCTCCATCGCCGCTCACCCCTGGCTCAAATACTGACAGGAAGCGGTCAGCAACACTTGTGTTTCTTATAGCTAGTGGACATGATGCCTTAGAAACAGAATGTGTACCTCTTTTGTTGCCGTAACAGGGAAGCTGGGTGGTGTCAGTTAATGGGGTGGGGGTTGACCGGGTTCCTATTGCATTCTGATTAAGGGCCTGTGTACTTTTATTTATATGTGTCTCTGAAACATTCTGGTTGTTTTGCAGCACATTTCTTTTGTACATCTTGTTCTCCCTGAAGACCAATGCCTCTACAGCATGCAGGTGGTAGTTAATGCTCAGCATTTTTTATAATACTTTTTTTATTTTTTCGCCCTAGATACCTTAACAATACTTCCCTGAAAGGCTTTTCAGCCCCCTTCGGATCAACAAGCACCAGTAGATCTAAGTAAAAATGTCTTTTTAGGAGAAAATATATTCTGCTCAAGTGGACTTCAGTCATGGAAACCATCTGTCGCTGTTAGTGGGCATGTAAAGGTTGACCACACTCCTGGTTCAGTTGGCATCTTGGAGGCTTTTATCACCAAAAAGAAAACACAACCATGTTTTCAAACTTGGTGAAAAGTCGAAATGTGAAGCAAACTTGTTCAACATGCATACTCTGAAATAACAAGTATGAATGTATATTTTTGCTTTTTGTTTTTAGATAATGTATTTTTTAATATTAATGACGAGGCTTACATTTGAATTTATCAATGTTAAAGTAATATAAAGGTGTCTGCAGAATTTCCTGCTGTAACTGCTCGAATACAAGTGTGTGTTAAGATTTGTTGGATTAAATATCTTCACATCTTTAGCTGATACTGTTGCCACATCCTTAACTGAATACTGTAGCAGACGCTCTACCATTATTAGTTATTTTCTAGTTGCAGAGCCAAACAGGGACACTGTAGGCAGATTATGAAAGTATTCACATTAACTTTAATGTCTTTTGTTAGGATTTATGTGATAAATTCTGACTCCAGCTGCAAGCTGCAAGTACTTTGGGGTATGTCTCTACCAGCTATGCAGATCAAAGGCCAAGCTCTTTAGGTTTGGATGAAGTAAACTCTGAGTAGCTCATTTTTAAAGTCTTGCCTAAGATTTAGAACAAAATTTGGTTCTGCACTTTAACTGGGCCATTCAGATGAATATTCTTTCATCTAAACCGTTCCATTGTCCTCTGTAGATGTACGTTTTAGGTTGTTGTCCTGCTGATGTGTGGTAGCTGTCTCTTCTAGGATTGCCTTTTATTTAGCTCCAACCATCTTTCCATCAACTCTGACCAGGTTCCCCATCTCTACTGCTGTCTCAGCAGCCCCATAGCATGACGCTCCCACCACCATGCTTCACCCTGTACATGGTGTGCTCAGGGTGGTGTGCAGTGTTAGTTTTTTTCACAGCATTTTGCTTTTAGGGCAAAACATTAAACTTTGGTTTCACTGACTGGAGCACCTTCTTCCACATGTTTGCAGTCTGTGAAGGTTAGAGGGGTATCAATACTTTTCCAAGGTGCTGTGATATTGTCCACATGGTTTTTTTTTTGTTTGACTCCGTTTGCTATGATATATGAGGAGGGAGACATTAACTGGAAACAGAATCATCAGTTTTTGATCTGGACCTTAAACAAAATGGGACAAATGAGTTTTATAGAGGACACATTTGGTTTTAATGACTAAAAGTTATTGGCTCATTGAGTGTTGAAGGTACTGAAGTTGAAGCGTTCAGAGTCCTTTTCTTGTTTGAAGAGACGACTGCCAGCAGTGAAACTAAACTATACGACAGAAAACACTCCCAAGTCAAGTTAAGTGTTGCTACTAAAAGCATGTTGGAAACTTTCCCACGGGGAAGAAGCAATAGGAAGACTTTCACGAGTTAAAAAAAGCTGGTACAAATAAATCGAATCAAATACAAATAAAACTACAACAATTAAAAATTTGATTAATACAGTCAGTGTGAGATAAAAGCTCCATGGATTTATATGTGGGGTGTTCCTGATGTGTAGATTTTCATCTGACCTTGCTATTCTACATGCAGATCTTTAGTAAGGAAATGTATATAACAGGTTGTTATGTTAGCACTAATTTACTGTCAGTGTCAAATTAGTGCTGATCTTGATTTAACTTCTTGAAAGTTAAATCCATAGATAATCTAACAGCTGCTTTGTTTAGTATTGTCTTTTCACTTTGGAAATATAAAACTGCTATTATTATGGTACACCGTTTTCTCAAATATCAGCCCATTCTGGGTTTCTCTTCCCCACATACGTATGTATTTAGAAAACACATTAAATGTCATTTGAAATATTTAAATGAATCAATAATTCCTCCTGGTTGATGGCTGAACTCAATAGGAAATGTTAATCTGAATTATAAAGAAGTTTGAAATGATGAGACTGACTATAATGTCAGTTTTGGATACCGTCAACTCAGACATCAAGAACAAAACTGTTTTATAATTATTTATTAAACTAAAAGGTCTCCAGTTTTAGGCAAATTAAACTCACTGAGGGAAACGTTGCAGGTTTTAGGGTTCCGATATTTCTAGCTACAGATTAGGTCACATTTGAGGAGTACTGAAAAAACTGTGGGTGTATATGTTACATACAAATTGGTCAGTCAACAAAGCCATTGTTATGGTTTGGAAAGCTACTCATTGGCTAATTAAAATGAACAGCAGTTTTCTGCAGGATGCTGCATTTTTCTTAGCTTTCCCTCCTTCTAACTCGTCGATTATTGCTTCAGTGGTACTGCTATTATTATTGGTGTGGATCTTTAACTTGGGTAGACCCCAGGACTCTTTCTTAAAGGACATTTTTGAAGATCAAGCTATTATTTTCTCTAGTAAGCTCAGCCATTCTTTCTCATTCTAGCTACACACAGCCTAGCATAATATTGTCTTTCTTTGCCAACTGAACAGAAACTGAGTTTAGCAGTTAACTGTAAGTAAAATGCAAAATCAAACTACTATTTTACTAAAAGAATCAACTTGGGCCACTAAAGGAAATCTAATCTTACAAGAATTTTACCTAGTTAGCTTCAAAAAAGCTAACTTTACTTTTATTTGTACAAATTCAGTAAATAACTTTGGAATATGAGGAAATATGTGATTTGAAAGACTTTAACACTTAAAAAATATTTGAGTTGTAACTTCGTAGCATTCAGGTTTGTTAGATGTGTTTTCTATATGAAATTGAAGATTCAACTTTTACATCGTTTTTCCTGACAAATGTTAAATTTATGACGATTCAATTTTAGCTAAAGGACAAGTTGGAAAAAAATTCTTAAGTTTGGCGTTTATCTCTAGTAGTAGTTTGATAGCTCATACAGGAAGCCGTTCTTGTATTAGCGATAACTTTATTCAAAGATCTTCTCTGTTTCTGTCACTTTTATAAAATAAATTCAAATTACATCCATTTATTCTTACTTTTTTATCTTATATATATATATATATCTATAGATATATATATAGATATATATATATCTATATAGATATATATATCTTTAACAGTGTTCAGCCAACGTTGCAGTTTCTAATTCATGGTTAATTTCCACTGAACCAAACTATCCACACTAGGAGGCCTGTCCAGAAATTTCAAGAAACTGTCATTTCCTGTGTAAACATAACTTATATTTCAGTCGGATTAATGCTTGTGTAAAATGTTTTAATATGAATCTTTTTAAGCAAATACATGTTTTCATTTTTGTAAAATATGGAACAGATGCAATAAATACCTTAAGGGGGATAACTGATCTTTTTCACAGTTTTAGGACAGGATTTTTGTTGTAGTGCTGGAGAAATCTTAATGCTGGGGTTTAAGTATTCATAAATAAAGATTGAATATGCAAATAAAAGGACTGGTGCACCTGGTTTGTTCTCAGGGGAGAAATAAATGTTTTCAATGGATGCAGTTTGGATGAAGAGTACTTCAAGCATAAAGTTGTTTTAGTACAACTGTGGGGGAACTGACTTCACCAGTTGCCCATTCTAATAAATATATCTTCTAAATTATTGTCAAAAACACTAGACCTCTTACTCATGTTTTTAAGATTTCTGAATCTGTTGATGTTCTTGCTGTGTGCCTGCACCCGCAGGGAGAGCGAGACTTTGGGACAATGTCCTTGTGACAGGAAGGGCAGCAAATAAGCCATTTCTGTTTAAGAAAAACATCAAAAACGGACTGAAATAGCAGGAAGTACAAGGAAGGGCTTCAAAGTGGCGCACAGAGGAACTTTCTAAACGATCCACCCACAGTTTGGTCAAGATCTGTGTATTTTCCTGCTTATTGAAGCACAATGCTGTGGAAAAAATGTATTTCTAAAAATAAAAAAACAAAGCCCTGACATTGACATTTTGAATTTAAGACCAAGAAACTCCCCAGAT